TATATATATATATATTAAGGATTTTTATAAGGTATCCCCAAAAAGGAACTACAATGGAGACTATAGGTAGTTTTTACTAACAAGGAACCCAAAACCCTATTCCAATTATTCAGGCCCCTACATTAATCATACTTCGGACCAAAGAGCTTTAAGAAGACTTTGGTCACGGAGGCTCAGGTCGGTTTGTTTAGGGCTTAGGGTTTAGGGTTTAGGGCTTGAAATTTAAAAGGTCTAGCGAGTTTGCGGTTTTCGAGCTAAGCAAATCTGTCCGAGTCTGCGCATGCTCGAGGTCCAGCAACCAGCAGTACTTCAGCAGCTTGGCGTGTCTTCGTATGCGAGTTGGTGTCTTTTACTTTGGCATCTCATTGCTGTTGCTGTTGCTCTTACGACAGCTTGCCCGAATGAGACCTGTTTATGTAGGGTGGGAGAGCATGCAAGTGTGTAATATAGAAGCCTAAATAAATACAAACATTATTGTTAGGGTTCCTAAGTTCCGACACATACTCTAAAGGAGTCCAAAACCCTATTCTAAATGTTAAGGCCCCTACATCAGTTGCCTGTAGAGGTCCCCTGACGTGCTTTCCGAACGAGGTTTTGAAGCCCCCGGCCACGAAGCGTCAGGCAACAACCCTCTCTTCCGCAGTGCGGACGTGCTGGTGGCCCAGCAGCTTGTCAAGAAGCAAGGCTTACGTTCTATGAGACCCTAAACCCTTAAATCCAACCCTATCTCTACACCTCCAAGAAATCATACTCTGCAGAAACGACGCAAACGTACATCCTGAATGCATTGAGTCAGAACACACAGCCCCAGAACCTAAAACTCCCCCAAAACACCTCAGCACAAGGTCCTACACCTCAACATTTTTAGAATTCACCCTGCCTCTTCACGTTTCTGAGCGCCAAATCCTCAAAGAATTACTTCCCGAATGCCAGACCCCAAGCCCAAAGGTGGGTTGGCGAGGCTGGCAAGCTGCGTGTGCACTACTCCAAGCCTGTGGGGGCCCTTTCTGGGTCAGACTCTCCAGACCCGTCGGTTTTAGAGTTTCGTGTTTTAGGGGTTCAGCGGGAGATGCAAAAAGGGGTTCAGCGGGCTATGGATCGCGTGTGTGTTCGAGGTGGCCCCCACGAGTTCTTTGAGCAAGGTATAGAAGTGCAGTCAGGGAGCTGAACCTCCGTATGCTTAGACCTTCAGGAGATTGCACGAGTTCTGATGCAAGAAGGGTTCAGAGGGCTAGGGTTTACACAGGGCCAGGCCTCATATATTCATGTTGGGTATTATTTGTCACGGCTTTTTTAATTGATTATTTTGCAACTAAGTTGTTGGTCTTATGTTGCTCTTCACAGTTGTTTGAAGGGGTTTGAACTGAGCTGGCTGAAGGGGTTTACCTTTTTTAAGGGTGAGTTCAGCAGATGTTCAGCAGTATGGCCTGGGGAACTCTAGGGTTGCGGTACGGGTCGAAGGTTTTTACTTTTTTGGAGCATCTGGTGTGATGTCTACACAGCTGTAATATAGGGGCCTGGATAAGTTCAATAGGGTTTTGGGGATTCCTTATTCGAGTTAAAGTATATTCTTCCACAAAAGGCCCCTAGAGTCTGCAAGCTCGGTTTCGTGCTGGACGGTTGCATCACCAATGCAGCCACAGGTGGAAAACGACCGGTTGGTTTGCATGGCCCGCCAAACCCCAAGCAGGTGTAAACCTTTGTCGCCGCACTGCTTTTTTGGGAGTAGAGCCCAAACAGTAGTAGTCTGAGGATTTGCTTGTAAACTTGTAAACGAGAGTTAAGGATTTGGACTTTCAATTGTTGGTTTAGTTCGAGTATGTTCGAGTCCTAAGCGCGTGACCAAGCCAACCCCTGACTGCCCTGCCACAATCTCTGTATCTCGCCACCCCGCCAAAGCTTGAGCTGCATGCCCTAGAGTTTTAGATCAGCAGACAGCTGTTCCAAAAAGGGTCCTAAAGCCCCTACTCCCTGAACTGTCACGGCGAAGCGCCCGTAGAAACTTCAGGCTTCATAAACCGGAAAGCCCTAAGTTTGAGGTGATCGCTTATCTCGGATTTCTCCTGCTGAACGACCCCGTCGTCGGCAAGTGCGCCAAACTTCCGGGAGAGTGAGCATGGGAAAGGTGCCGCCCTCCTTCAAACAGGTTCGAAGCCCGAGGCGTGCGCCCTAAATATGCGCTTTCTAGGATCCTAAGCCCGAAGTGTCATGCTACTGAGTTTTTTCGGCATTTTTGTTGCCCTGAACTGAAGCGGAGAGTGTAGAAGGTTCTTGTGCGACCGCCTGTCATGTGAACTGCTAGCCCTTCACTGAGCATTGCCTCACTAAGCTGCGAGCTCAGGTACCATCCCTGGAGTGAGCCACTGGAGCACTACTGGGAGAGGCACCAGCAGAGCAGAAGGAACGGATTGCTTTCGTATTCAGGGCTTGTCAGGGTTTCACAGTGTAAGGCTTTGCTGTTGAAGGCCTGCAAATCTGCTGCATTTATAGGGTGGTAGGCTTGAGGGCTACATTGCAAAGTAGGGTCGTAGGGTCAGCGCCGAAAACTTAAATTAAATTCTAAACCCGAATAAACCCTAAACCGTAAGAGTAACAGGGCTCAAGGATTGCCGGGCTGGAGGCTCGAGGCCTTCCAGTTTGATAGAGGCCCGGGCTTCGGGGTTAGGGGTTTCGGGTAAAGTTTAGGGTTTAGGGTTCTAGGAACTACCCAAACCCTAAACCCTAAACCCTAAACAGCAAAAAGGTTCTAGGATCGTGCGCTTTAGGGTCTGGAGCTTGTGGGAGGTTGCCCCCCTCCCCCCGAAGTTCCGGGTTGTTGGAGGGATTCATGTCGTCAGGAGGCACAGAAGCTCAGGAGAACCCGCATGTAATTTCTGACTTCTCCTGCGCTTCTGTACGCTTTTGTCGGGGGTTCTGATCCTTAAAGAACCCTTTTCCAGAGGATGGCCCCCGCGAGAATGAAGCTCGGAGGGTCGGTTGGGTTGAGATGAGGTAAGGCTTGCAGGGAATGGAGAGCCTCCATACACTATATAATATTAGACTGACTATATTATATTATAATATAGTACAATATAGCCTCCATACACTATATAATATTAGACTATACTATATTATGTTATAATATATTACAATATAGTATATTAAATGGTTCTATCGGGCTTCATCGCAGAAGGTCTCCCGACATGGGTCAGGCCTCAGCGTGAACGACTTTAGTAGCTCTGACATCCTGCTCTCCACAGCACAGCCGGCAGTAACCCTTAAACCGGATCCCTGCCTGCTGTGTGCGAGAGTGAGAGTCGAAACCCTAAACCCTAAACCCTAACCCTAAACCCTTTACCCGTGGCGTCTGAAGTCCGTTGCTTGAAGCGGAAGTCCAGTGCACCTCCGCGGCTCCGCAGGTTCACCTTTCTTCAAGACTGTGATGTCCATTCGCTGCAGGGTAAGCCGCCCAAAGATGGCGGACCCCCATGCCACATGGCTTGCACAGATGCTACAGTGGCATGGGGTAATGACATAAAATGATTAACATGACAACAAATCAAAGTATTCCTGTGTACACTTATGGCCTTAAGTTTGTGTAATCTTGGAGTCGTATACACCAAAACCCCATTCTAAATATCAAGGCCGCGACATCAATTTTGGCACTGCCAGTACCCCTTAATTAAGGAATATAGCTTAAACTATAGGGGCCTTAATATTATGGTTTAAGCTATATTCCGTAATTAAGGGGTATTGGGCTCTCTGGGGCCCCCCCATGTCGTTCCGCTTCCCTGCCCACACCAGAGGAGGGGTCCAGGACCATGCGGGTTCAGGATTTAGGGTTTAGGGTTTTAGGGTTTAGGGGTTTAGGGGTTTAGGGTTTAGGGGTTTAGGGTTTAGGGTTTAGGGTTTGGTTTGGGGTTTTTGGACCTGCCTCCGGCTTTGTTCCAGGTTCCTTTTGACCCCCCCCCCCCCACCAGGTCTAGTGTTCTCAGGTCAGGGGTTTTGCTATCATGTGCCCTTATGCAGCCACGTGAAACGTTAATATAGGGGGCTTAATACTTAGAATAGGGTTTGGGGGCCCCCCAGAACCCAAACCCTGAACAAAAAGGCCCCCATATACCCCTATAGAGCCTTTATAGGAAGCCTTACAGATCCCTTTAAGGAACCCCCAAACCCTGGACAAAAAAGGCCCCATGAAGCTAAACCCTAAACCCTAAACCCTAAACCCTAAACCCTAAACCCTAAACCCAAGCCCAGGCGCGGTTGTGTATGAGGAGCCGCAGCTGGCGGAAGCTGCATATTGGCAAACAGGCGGCTGGTCTCCAAAGGGTTTAGGGGTGTAGGGTTTAAGGGTTTAGGCGTGAGGGTTTAGGGTTTAGGGTTCAGGGTTTAGGGTTTAGTAGTTTTAGGGTTTAGGGTTTAGGGAGCCTAGGAATCCAAGACTTTGTGCAATTTAGGGCCGAGTCCAGGGTCTACCGATTTCACGGCAAGGCCAGCCCTAAACCCGAAACCCTTAAACCCTTAAGCCCTTAAACCCTTAATCCCTTCCCCGAAATTATTAAAGGGCCCCCCCCCTCTAATATTAAAACTGGATTTCTGCGGTTTGGTTTTAATATTAGGGGGGTTTCGGGGCCACATCACACACCACGACCGCTTCCCACGCAGCCAA